AAAATCACTAGTCATTGTTGTTGTTGTTATGTGCCGTGGAGTCGGTTCCGACTCATAGCGACCCTGTACAGGGTTTCGGAGGCTGTACATCTTTATGGGAGCAGAAAGCCCCATTGTTGAGAGATGCAAATTAAAACAACAATGAGATATCAACTCACACCCGTAATAACAGTGAAGTTCCAAATAGCAGAGGACAATAGTTGCTGGCAAGGATATGGAGAGACTGGGCCCCTCCTACATTGCTGGTGAATAGTAAAAAGATCCAACCAGTCTGGAAATGGTATATACCTTATGATCCAGAAATTTCTCTACAAGAAATACAAGCCAGAACATGAGCAGATATATGCATACTAATGTTTATCACAGCAGTATTCACAACAGCAAAAAGATAGAGACAGCATAAGTGCCCATCAGTGGATGAATGGATAAAACAAACTTCGGCACATACACACAATGAAATACTATGTTACCTTGCAGAATAATGAAGTTGCAAAACAACTCATTACATGGATGAATCTTGAGGACATTATGCTGAGTGAAATAAGTCACAAAAGGACAAATATTACTTAAGACCATTATTATAAATACTTAAGAAAAGATGTCCATATTAAATTAAAAAAAAAAAAATGTCTTTGTTGGTTACCAGGGCTGTGAGTGAAGGGACAGAAAGGCGCAGGTAAGGGAATAGTCACATCTTAGCTCAAGTGATGGGGAGGGCAATATACAAGGAAGGGGTGAGCAATACACAAGATGGGAGAAGGGGTGGAAGTACAAGGAAGACAGGGGAACACTTAGGTAAGTTTGAATGGGCTAAATGGGAGGGGCAAATAGTGATGTGTACTCAACCTTGGAATGACAGGACTCTGTGATACAGGGATTGAAGCACAGTCTGAATGAGAAAAAGATGGGAAATGATGTTAAAGTGCTTGACTTTCTTGTGATTATTGGTTTCCCTTGTCTACTATTTTAAGACAGATATTTGAGTGGGATAAAAAGAATATCAAGAAGTATGATTACAGAAAACTTGTAAGCCCATCTTCAGCCTGTAATTGAATGGAATACCTAAAAGGAGTTCTAAATTTTGACCAGTAAAATAGGCTTCTTGTGGAGTGTTTGTAGAGTGTAGGGACTAAGAGGAATCCTGAGCCCCATCCAGAACCTTATGAGGTGGGACATTCCCACTTGAAAGGACATGCAGACCAACCTGGAGTGGCTAGAGGAACAGAAGATACTTCTTGAAAGAAAGACAAGCAGAAAAAAAAAAAAAAAAAAGAAGACGCTGATGGTTTGGCTGTTACAAGAACAAGTAAGGTGTTTGCCTGGGAGCCATCAAAGCATGGCACCAAGCCGCTTTAGGACAAACCCCCATCTAAGACTGAAACTCAAAAGGAACATATGAGCAGGTTTGTAAGCTCCCGGTGACTGCACTGGTCTACTTGTGAGTGGAAATGGGAGAAAGGCACTAATGAAAATATGGGCTAAGTCCGAATTTGGGATTATAGAAAGAATAGGAAGTGCTGGTTATTCTGAAGTTTGGGGAGACTTGGAAACTCCTGAGCCCATGAACACTGACCTAACCACTGGGGCTAGATTTGAGAGTGAAGCATTCAGCTGATGTGCAAAAGATCATTTGACCTAGCTTAGCTGCCTTGATGATCAGAAATCTACTTAAGAAAGATAAAGAAAGATAAACTTGCAGATAGTACCCATTTGACCTAGCTTGGCTGGCTTGATGATCAGAAATCAACTACAGAAAGATAAAGAAATTTGATACAGGAATTGATACAGGAAGTAAGTGTAAATTGTGACAATTTGATGATTCTTGACCTTTGTTCATGGATGCAGTAGCTGAAAATATTAATGGAGAGGGGAGAAGTCTTTACATCAAGGATCAAGTCTATCCCCTCAGTACAAAGGATTGATAGGGATGGGCAACTTAGTCACTAGCTACGTAAAATGTGGGATGCGGGGAGGGCTATGAAGTGGCTGGCTTATAAGTTTTCAAGAGGGAGTTTAGTTTTTGGGGGGGAGGGTTGCGAGTAGAATCCCTACTGAATAGTTTTCATCTTGTCTAGATGGATCTGGTAAAGGATATGGGGATAGGATTATTTTAATTCAGTAGTGACTAATTGTTATTATGACTAATTGTGATTGTTACAACTTTAAAGGTAGAAGACATGTAACAAAAAGGGGGGAGTAGTTAATCTTTCATTCCAGGAACAGAGGAGCGTGAGATCCTAAAGACAGAAGCAGCTATACCAGAGAGGGAGGCAGAAGTGATGGTATGGAGAGATAGAGCAGATGAGGACTCTAGACTCAGAAAGAAAAAGGTGGTGTATACTGGCTGGCAGGAGGCTGTCTTGCAAAATGTACCCTTTGGTTGTTTAAACAATTATATATCACTGTGTATTTTTGTGTACAACAACAACAACAAAATAGAGGGAATAGAGGCAAAAACTTTTAACCAATGGCACATGAAGGGGATTATAATCATTGCAATGAAATAAAATACGATTGGTTGAGTGTAACACCTATGTTCTGCCATGTACATTATCACCCAATTCACAATAAAAGCTTTCTTTAAAAAAAAAAAAAAGTGTTAAACAGCAAAGACGTCAATTTGAAGAAGAAAAAAAAAAATATTGCTACAAAACCATAGACATTTTTGTTGAACAAAATTATCAAATATGAAACTACTGTTTTCCAACAAATCATCTCATCTAGGTCTAAACACTTCTGTAGGCAGTATTTTAATCACTCTGATAGTGTAGTGGTTACAAATCAGGCTGCGAACCTCAAGGTCAGCAGTTCAAAACTACCAGCTGTTCTGTGGGAAAAAGATGAGGCTTTCTGCTCACGTAAAGATTTACAGCCTTGGAAACCCTGTTCAGGGTCGCTATGGGTTTGGAACTGACTCAACGGCACTTAACAACAACAACAACATTTTCCTGAAGAACTCTGTGTTGTTTTATTTATGACATATGATAAAAAAATATTTTTTAATGACCTGAAAATTTTGCCTGGTGAGATGCTATGTAAGCAAAATATTTAAAGATTTGGGATATAAAAGAGCATTATCTCTGGTCTTCTAAAATGAACATCATAAAATAGCTACGTGTCATATAATAAAACAGTATCATACTTTCAGAACTTAAAAAAAAAAGAAAACACTCTACCACCTAACATGGATGAACCATAAGGACATTGTGTTGAGTGAAATTAGTCAGTCACAAAAGGAAAAATATTGTATAGGACCACTACTGTAAAAGACTAAGAAAAAGAACCATACAAATCCACTAAAGTGGATTCTTTGCTGGTTGCTGGGATGTAGGGGTGGGATGAGGGAAGGTAAGGGAAGCTGGGGCACAGGGCAGGGAGTAGACATAGGATAGTTTGGGTGCTGGGGAGAGGGACAATATAAAAAAAAGGGAGAACAAAGCAGATGGGTGAACAATTAGGCATGTTTGAATGGACTAAGTGGGACAGAGGTAAATAATGATGTATGCACAACCTTGGAACAACAGGGTTCTGGGATACAGAGATTGAGACATGGTTGGAATGGGGAAAAGGGGAGAATAATGTTAAGATGCTTGCATGTCTTTGAATCTTGGTTTTCCTTGCATTGTATTATAAAATAGACCTGGAGACTTGAGATCCAGAGAGGGAGAGGGGCTGTGTACAGACAGCCTGGTGGGGGGTGACGGGCAGGCTTGCAGGCTATACCCTTTGGTTGGTTGATGATGCATGGAGGTGACTGTAACCATGGCAATGAAATGATATACTATAGAATGAAGGTAAAACTAATGTTCTCCCATGTAAACTATCACATAATTCACAATAAAACATTAAAAAAGAAAAGAAAAGAAAACGCTGCCATCTAGTGTGGATTCTGATTCACGGATCCTATTTAGGGTCTCCAAGATTATACATCTTTATAGGGGTAAAAAGCCTCATCTTTCTTCCATGGAGTGGTTGGTAGGTTTGAATCACTAACCTTGCAGTTAATTTCATGTGTCAACTCTGCAAGTCAGTAATACAAACACTACCCCTCCTCAATCCATTAACAGCTCCTTCTAGTTTTGTTCTTTCCAGCACAACTGTTCAAGTCCTATCTGCTTGTCTTCACATTGCCGTAATCTTAGGGAGAAAGTATTCCATCCTTTATCATTATTATATTAACTGTAGGTTTTTCATAGATTCCTTTTATCAAGTTAATAAATTTCCCTTCTATTTATAGTTTGCTAATAGACTAGAGCAGGAATGGATGTTGTTGTTCTTGTTATTAAGTGCTTTTAAGTCAGTTCCAACTCACAGGTACCCTGCACAGGGTTTATAAGGAGTGGGTAATGGGTTTGAACCACAAACCCTGCTATTAGCAGTCCTACAACACCACACCAGGACTCCATATACACACATACATATATCCCCTGTACTATCTCAGTGTCAAGCCATAAACTATCTTCTTGTTGTTGTTAAGTGCCATCCAGTCATTTCCAACTACAAGCGACCCTGCATAGGGTATCTAAGGAGCAGCTGGTGGGTTTAAAGTGCTGACCTTGTGGTTTGCAGTCCAGTGCTGATCCTACAACACTACACAGGGTAGAACTGCCCCATAGGGTTTCTAAGGCTACAAATCTTTACAGAAAAGGGCTGTCTCATCATTCTCCCATGGAGTATAAATTAATTTCCCTCAATTTGTCTTTCTCCCTTGATCTTTAAGTTCCTTCAATGATTTGGGTTCAAATCACCAAACTAGCAGTTCGTAATCCAACACTTAATTCAATGTACCACCAGGGATCCCTTTGGTTATTACAGAAAAGTATAAAGAAATAGAAATGAAAGTACAAGATTAAATAAAGGGAATAAAATGAGAGTTATCTTTGTTTCTGCTTCAGAAATTTGGAAATGGCACATTTATCAGATTTCTCTGAATGTGAACAGTTTTTTGTTAAATATTTAGCATAGAAACAAATAAGGGAAATGGGGAATGCATTCATTACCTTTCCAAATGATCCCTGACCAAGAACTTTGAGCAATTCAAACTGTGCAGGATCTGCCTTCTCATATCCTTCCTTAACGTGATGAGTAATAAGGATTTCTTTAACAACTCCTTCATCCTGTTAAAAGAAATTCAAACAATACTGAAGTCCAGTTGCAAAATCCAAAGATTAGATCCATATACTCATAGAGAAAAGCCTATCCCACAAAGTTCCCCACAATACCAGAAACCATAAAATACCCAATTCCCTCAACCTAGTACCAGTTAGTGTTTTATGGCCTAAATGAATTTCTATTTACCCATCATAAACACATACAGAATATACCACCACTAACTTCTCTATTTATATAATTTAATTTAAATAAAAACATGTAACATTTATTTCAGCCTTCCCTTCCAACTTGGTAGCAACAGAAAAGTGTTAGCAACTAAGTCACAAGAACAATGAAGTGTGACTTTTGAGGCATTTGCAGACAGTCAAGAGATACATAAAACCTTGTAAATTTTAAGGCATAACAAAAACGTGAACTTCAAGAGATATTTTAAATATATTTCACCAGACTCTTTCAACAATATACAAGTATTTAAACGTCCAACTTGCCACATCAATGACAAAGAAACTGATATAGAAATCATTGTTGTTGTTAAGTGCCATCCAGTCAGTTCCGACCCATAGCGACCCTGTGTAGGGTTTCCGAGGAATAGCTGGTGAGCTTGAACTGCCGACCTTGCAGTTCAAGCGGCTTTGCAGTCTGGAGCATTAACCCACAGTGCCACACCATGCTGAAACAGTGGGTTCATTCTGCTGTGCATAAGGTCACTATGGGTCAGAAATAATTTGACAGCACCTAAAATACACAGACACACACACACACACAAAGTACAAACAAATGCAAAGTACAAACAGGCAGTTGTTCTACTTTCCTTTGAAAACGGATCCATAAATTATGTGCCAGATTTTCTACAGTCTGGGTTGAACATAAAGAAATAAGCAAAAAAACAGAGTCATTCAGATTCTACCTCCTGCTGAGAATTTACCATCCACAGCTGATAATTTACATTTCCACACCTTAGAGCAAGGGTTGTTGTTGTTGTTGTTAAGGACCATGGAGTCGGATTCCACTCATAGTGATCCCGCACAGGGTTTCCGAGGCTGTAAATCTTCATGGGAGCAGAAAGCCTCATCTTTCTCCCGTGGAACAGCTGGTAGTTTTGAACTGCTGACCGTGAGATTAGCAGCACGATTCATAGCCACTATGCTACCAGAGCTCCTTTAGAGCAGGGGTAGAAACTTTCTGCCAAAATTTATAACATCATTCTCAGGTCATACAAAATTTTCTACTTAAAATTAGCCTGCTATATTTACAAAGCACTGCTAAAAAGAATAAGGTTGGAGGCCTGTCACTTCCCGACTTCAATATTTACTACATGGCTACATTGCTCAAAACAGCTTGGTACTGGTACAATGAAAGATACATAGATCAATGGAACAGAATCGAGAATCCAGAAATTAACGCATCTACAGACAGCCAACTGAGTTTTGACAAAACACCTAAATATCTCGCATAGGTAGGTGATAGTCTTTCAACAGATGGTGCTGGCAGAACTGGAAAATGATATGCAAAAGATTGAAACAAGACCTTCACCTCACACCTTATACAAAAACTAACTCAGCATGGATAAAGGACCTAAATGTGAATCCCAGAATTATGAAGGCCATCAATGAAAAAATAGGGACAAATGTGAGGGCACTAATTCAGGGAATACAC